TGAAAGAAACGACAGCCTTCCCATCGCGGCCGAGCAGATCCTTTCGAGCGCAACCTGAGTACGACGGACGCTAGATTCGCGCCGTGACGAGGGACCTACTCGTCTGGAGACCCCTGAGACGTCTTCGCTCGCATCGCCTCCTTTCTCGGTGACCTTAGATGAAAAGTCTCGGGGTGGTCGGCGTCGTGGCCTTCGCGCTGACGACCCTCGCCCTTTCCTCCCGCGCTCAGCTGCTCCCTCGGACTCGCCTCCCGAACGTTATCATCGGAGACCCGAATGAGGTGAGTGAGGGGAGAGGAGGGGAGGGTTCTTGAAAAGCAGGAGGTCATGCGTAAAGAACTTGCTCTGTCTCTGTCTTTGTCCCTCTGTCTCTGTCTATGTCTCTCTCCGTATATATATATATCGGTACGTAAGTACTGTCTTTACACGTACACTAGAGTAAGGACGCTCTCTCTGAGCGCTTTCTAGTTACAGGCGTTTATTTCAGTCATGATTCTCACTATAGTAACTTGTTAATATTGAACAGCTGAGCATGTGCCGGGCTTCAGAACTTGCCCCGCTGCCCCTCCCCCCTGATGTCCTTCCCTGGAACCGCCAGTATATTCCGTTTAATCCGAATCCATTGACATAACAAGACAAATCGCCGACTGAATAGCCGACCTAATCCTCCACACAGCCCGAGAACGATATCCTCGGACCGCCCTTGGCGAAGGAGGAGCTCGTCTTCAGGATAAATGGGACCGGAGAGGACGGCGCGGAGGGCGAGCCAGGAGACGGAGGCGAGGGGGGCGACCCGAGCCTTCGATCCGGCTTCTTCCAGGGCGATATCATGCTTCCCTCCGAGGACCACCTTCTGCAGATCATCCAGGTAATGTGGCGCTGCCTCTGCTCGCTGTGCGTTTTGCCTCTGTTCGCTCCCTTTGTTTTTTTCTGTCTGAAGCCATATCGTTTCCTTATGTGTGTATGTTCAGTGTGTTTTTCTTTTTCCATCCAACACATCCCACACACACACACACACTCACACACACAAAATCTTTTACAAAAAATTTGGTTTATATATTTTCGAAGTGTTAGTCAAGGACAGATATGTTATGAAAGGAGCTTCAGTATAAGACGAATACTCTTTAGTAAGTGATCAATATGTACAGGAATGTAACCTTAGAGCATCCGAGTGTAAATAAGGTAAGTTAGAATATACAGTAATAGACTACCCATAGATTGAGCCGCCGCGCTATGCCATACGAGGCCCTGCTTGCCTGCCCCCACAACCACAGAAGTGTTGAAGGACGCAGAAAAAGGTCAAGAGACTGGATGGAACCGCCTTCCTACCGGGCTAGACATTTCCTTCTGTGTTGGTGGAAGGTGGCAACAGTGCCACCGGAAGCGTGACTGCCATGTGACACGACACACATTTACATAATCTGGATGTACTATAATTTGACTTGCAAAGTATATGTAATGTATTAGCGTCAAAGATTCAATGTTTAAGAAGAAATTGCACCGACTAGGGCCACTTTCTCCTGCGACATCCAGTGTGTGTCGTTGCATTAGCTCGTCTTATTTAAATGACACTGGGCGCTCAGCCAAGGAATAGCCCGAGGCTCATTAACTCTCTAATTGATGAATTCCTTAGAGCTCGAACGTAATCCCGCTCGAACCTACACTTCTTATCATACCTTGAAAATCATGGCACTGGAGGTGTGACAGGACAACACTACACACATATACGCATAACGACAATGTAAAATCCGCTCATAATTCTAAAAAAGAAAAAAAAAAAAAAGCGAAACGAGACAACCTTCGGAAGGGATCTCTCTTCAGTAACCTAACGGAGTCTGATCCAGATCTCCCTCAACAGGGCTCGCCGGACGCCCAGGGGAGCGCCGCCAGGAACCCTGCTCTCCGCTGGCCCGGCGCCCTCGTCCCCTACGTCATCTCCGCCTCCTTCTGTGAGTATCTCGACTTTATTGATTATTGCACTCAGGAAAATTATAGATCCCTTTGTAAATAGCTGAATAGCAATAGATCAGTAGTTTCAACGTATCAAAACAGTCAGGATATACATATTGTATCTGCAACCGTATTTTAAAGGATTGACTGGCAGAGAGATAGCCCGGGAGTCATGCCCCTGAACCCAATATGTATGTAATCAATAAGTCTTTCGTCGCCTGCACTCGCACTTAAAATCATTAAGAATATCATTTCAACCAATCACGGCCTCTCAAAGGCCTACTCACTAACCCCCAATCAGGACAACTTAAAGAATAACATAATATAGTAAGAAGAAAAAAAAAAAAGACGTTGCAATACAATAAAAAAGCAACATGCTATACGCTGGAATATCGTGTAAAAAACCCAGCCTGGGACAATTTCTAAGACTGACCTCCATGGCCTCTCCCCAGCGCGCGCGGAGAGGGCGGCCATCGGGGGCGCGATGGGCGAGTTCCACGCCAGGACCTGCCTTCGCTTCGTCGCCCGCCAGCCGCAGCACAGGGACTACGTGCACATTCTCAAGGGCGAAGGGTGCGTCTCCTTTGGTCTGGTTATCGATCTGGTCATCGTACTTTCTAATCATGAGTCATCGCTACAATTAAAGCTCGCGACTTCATCATTTCCGTTGTTACTGCAAGGTCTTCCGATGGCGAGGGTTTTTTTATTTCCTTTGTGTAAAATGTCTGTAGTATCATACTGTACATACACGCACTCTCTCTCTCTCTCCCTCACACGCACACACACACACACACATATCGCCCTTAATTCTTATTTCCTCACATGAAAAGGATCTTCAATCCTCTTATGCTCTTTGTAAAGTTAAAAGGCACAGCACAGGCGCCGCCGCCGCAGACCCAAGCAAGCAAGCCCAAGGCGCAAGAGGCGGTCGTCCCCCTTTCCCGCTCAGAGCCCTTTCGACGCGTCCAAGTTTAACCTGCACGACCTGAGCCGACCTGTTTCCGCAGGTGTTCGAGCGCGGTGGGTCGCGCCGGCGGGCTGCAGGTCGTCTCCCTTGGGCAGGGCTGCGTGCATCACGGCGTGGTCGTGCACGAGTTCATGCACGCCGCTGGCTTCTGGCACGAGCAGTCCCGGTACGACCGCGATGAGCACGTCGTCATCAACTGGAAGAACATCATCGGTGACATGAAATACAACTTCGGAAAGGTTAGTGGACATCTTTTTGATGTATGGGGGGGGGGGGGTAAATACGGCTCATAAGTTGTTAACTATATGCACAATCACTATAATTTCCGAACAATTATACGCATAAGAGCCAGTCTGCGCCGACATAAGTCCGCTTTCACGCGGCACTAATTTTCTCTCCCGCAGAAAACCAACCGCCTGACGAGCGACTTGGGGCTCGACTACGACTACGCCTCCGTCATGCACTACGGGCCGCGCGCCTTCGCCGTGGACGCCTCGCTGCCCACCATCATACCCAGGGTGCCCGGGGTCGAGATAGGTCAGCGTCGCGGCTTCTCGGAGGTTAGTTGCGGAGCCGAAGGTCTCGCCAAACGTGGGTATGTCTGCGTGGCAGAGCCGGGGCCAGAGGGCGCCAGCTGTGCTCGCGGATGAAGAAATCAACAAGCAAATCAGCCAAAATAGTGTGTTGAGGCGCAATGAAGTAATGATGGAGTACATTTATTGAATAAATCAAGAGAATTCTGCTACGTAAATGTCAGACTTGTTACAGACAACAAAAGCAATTTTTCCAGAATTCCCATTTTAACAGCTCGATGTCAAGAGCCTGAACATCTTGTACCGCTGCGATAAAGATGCAACCACACGCCCACCGACGCCCACGGAGAAGCCAGGAGCCTGCGTGGACACCCACGCGGCCTGCCCCAAGTGGGCGGCGAGCGGCGTGTGCGTGAGGAGCCCCGTCTTCATGTCGCGCACGTGTCGGAAGTCTTGCAATCTGTGTGGTGAGTTTCGGACACTGAAATATTTTGAAAATTATTAGACAGTTAACGACGTTTTCGACCGAGATTTTATTATACTATTAGTCTTTTTGCAGAACGCGTTTGACCCCTACTAATAAGGTTATAAAATTGACGTTTCATATGGTTTTCCTTTCAGATGAAAAGACTGACTGCGTGGATACGAACATCCACTGCGCGTGGTGGGCGGGGCAGGGCGAGTGCGAGCGGAACGCAGCCTACATGGCCAGTTCCTGCCCCAGATCATGCGGCGTTTGTGGTGAGGATTTCCCAGGGCGCTTTTCACTGACAAAACGGTGGGGGGAGGTGGGAGGGAGGCGGAAAATTTATTTGGTACTGTAGCTGTCTTTAGATTAACTAATACGTACCGAAAATTGTCGATGCATGGGATTATAGCAATACTTTTCCTCTCCCTGTTGTAATATGCCGTGATTAATCATGACGTCCACAGAATTGCTCTTCTGTGGACGTCATGATTAATGCACAGTAAAATTAGGCAACAGACTTTTGGTAAGTGTTGCCGAACACCATCCTCGTCCCGATCGCCATACATTGTCCCTCATAACCTGAAGCTCTCCCTCACAGGAGTGTGGCCAGGGCCGTGCAAGGACCAACACAAAGACTGCACCCAATGGGCGGCCCGGGGGGAGTGTGGGCGTAACCCGGCTTACATGGCCCGCAACTGCCGCTCCTCCTGCCGCCTGTGCGGAAAGCCACCTCGGGCGCCGGGGGCCTAGGGTCACGTGCTGGGGACTGCGCTTCAGGACAGCCCTGGTATCCCTCAAGAAGCGTCTGTCGGTGTCTACGTAAATAATTATGCTAGAATACAGTTATGTTACAATACAGCTTTTAGCCATATTATTATTTTTTGTTAAGTAAAAGGAGAAAGCTATTGCAGTACAGTTTCTGTAGAATCTTAATGAGCTTCTGAATCATGGGTAGAAAATGACTAGTGAATGGCAGTGCAGTAAGTGCCAATCTGCATCGAACAGATCTCGAGACAGTGATCTGTGTTCTTCAATTCCTTCGTCGTGACCCTGTTAGAGAAAAGCTTGTGTTTACAGCGAC